AGTGTTGACGAACGTCTGGAGCCTGTTAGAAATGTCTTCCATGACGCTCAGGCTAAGTCTCCGAACCATTTACAAGAACTGACTTGACAGTTGTGTTAAAAATCCAAATCTTATTGTTTATGTTGAGTGCAGCAGAGTTTTGCACTGATTTCAGAGTATCTTGCTTTTAGGATCCTAACTGTCTTTGACATCCTGATTAGTGTCGTCTGTGGTCCGGACGATGCTGCTAAGGTAAGTGGAGTAAATGACTCCCTATAGATTTCTCCCACTGATGGTGACTGGTGCTTATTGTTGTTGAATGGCTATCCTCATCATCTCTGTCCTTTTCATATTCACTTTAAGTGCAGTCTTTTGCCTAGTTACCGGATTCTACTTGTAGATCTTCTAGTTTGTGTGACGTTTGACACAACTCATCCGCGATGTTCAAATCTTCTTAAGTCATTTTGTTGGTCCAAAGAATGTCCATCATCTTGCTGTCTATGGTCTGTTGTATGTTCCAGTAACATCATCGGTGACAGTAGGCAGCCTTGTCTTATTCATGTTTTCACTTCAAAGGCTTCACTGGACTTTCCATTTTGAATCACTTGGCATGTGGCAATATCATATAGCCGTTGAGTAGCATAATTCAGTGAGATACGGTTGATCTATGTGCTGGGCGACTCTATCCACGGGAAAATCTCAGGCTGAGGTAAAATTTGAACTTACATATCAATGTGAGTGGCAGCTTCATTGAATAATAATAATAATGTAGTAATAAATTCAATAATTATTACTGAAATCTAATCTTCAATGTTGAAATATGTACTTGATAACTGAAGGAATCTCACGTGATTAATAATATTGCCAAAGTAAAATTAGAATATTGAAAAGTTTCTATATAACTTTCAATAATATAGATGTTGGTTAATTTCTTTTTTTTTCTTTTCAATACTAATGATTATATAAATGTAAAAGTTCACTATAGCTTGTATTGATTGTATATAGAAACTACATAAAAGACAATTAATATTTTAGTCAGTAAGTGTATTCCCAAGCTTGTTATTTATTGAGGTTAGAAATATTGTCCAAAAGTGTGTCATCAGTTCAGTTATGTAACTGTTTTACAAAATCTATATACAAAGTCATGCATGATATTTTTGTTTGTATTAAGGAGTTTTCAACTTCAATTAGAGTTAACTAAGTGTAAATGCAAAAGAGTTCACAAGGCAATCTGTCGTTGATAGAAATAAGCCAGTGATAGCTATGACAGTTTGTGACAGTTCCTGGCTTTCTAGTACAACAAACAAAAGGGAAAATCCACAGATAAACGATCTTGGGAAGTCAATTCAATCTAGTGAAAATAAGAAGTCATTTACTCCATAGTAGCAAGTAGTGGCATCCAGGACACCAGTTATTTCTTATTTAGGACTCTTCAGATGGATGTACTTGTTTCTCCCAGTGATTGGTGATGCTCCCACTGAGAGTCGACACAAGCACACATTGATGTGAACGGCAAAGGACAATACCTAGTAGACTGTTTGGCCACAAGGATCACCTATTGTGCTGCAACTCTTAGCAGCTACCAATTTTTAAAACTGATCTTCTAAATTTCCCTTTGATTACATTAGGCTAAAGAAATTCGGTCCGTTTTGGTAAGTTCCAAAATGATTACTAACGTAAAATACTTTTCTGTTTTACAGTATTTCTTTTTGAGATCTTTACTACCCTCACTTTATAATATTCTTACATTGTACAGTTCAAAAGACTGTCTGTTTAACCTATTGATGGAGAGAATAGAATTAAAATAAACGTCTTCTGGCCATTTATTTGCATCACAGTGATATCACTATTGTTCAGAAAGTTGATTTAAGAGAGACCACATATTCAAATAATGAAATATGCTTTAGTTTTATTTGAAGGCAAATTCTCAAAATAACATATTCATTTATATTATCAACTGAAGACAGCATATCAAAGAATAGACCTTTAATCATCTACACTTTGATACCACTTATGATACAGTGAATGGAGTTTCTAATACACAGACAATTAGTACATGGTGTATACGATTATCTAATATGTTGTTCATGTTACGATTTATGGTGCTAATATAGTGCTATTTAGGCTGAAGTAAGTAAAGTGACATTTGAATCAAGCATCTAGGTATATTTTGAAATCAAAGTTTTAAAAGTAGATGAAATACATTTCTCAAATTTCACCGCTAGCCATGTAGAGAAAATATTCCACTCAGACCATGCACATGGTCCGGGGTTCGATCCTCGGCCGACGCATTCCTTTACCTCTCTAAGCCAGAAATAATGCTGGTGAAGAGGAAAGGTTGGGCATGAGGCTAGCAACCCCATCCTGTAAAAATAAACACTGCTACAGAAACTTCAAGCCTATAGCTTGAAGCCCTATGTTCCACTGGGGAACGTGAAGGAAAAAAAAACTAATTTCAGAGAACTAAATGCAATGGAGATCTGCCACTGTGGCTTTCTACTCCACTCGGAATGCAAGAACCGAATAATAACAGCATTAATAATAGTAATCTTCGCTCTTAGATAATGACACTTCATTATTAGTTTAATGTATACAGATAATTTCTGATGTGAGATAAATACATACCACTTGTATACCGTATTCTTCAATAACATCCCTGAGAAAAATTAGCTAGCGAAGCAGTCTCAGTTGAATTAAACAACTTCATCATTAGTAGGCAATCTAGGCTGAAATGATCACACTTAGTAGAATGAGTGTATGAACATGGAATAAACACACACACCCACACACAAACAGCCATACAGACACGAATATAGATACAGACACACCAATCATATCTACTAATTCTCATCATACACTTCCATTATTAATTCATTAGGTTGCATTAATTACCATTTTGAAAAGTAAACTTTGCACGTATTCAACTACAGAACAGGCATGAATGGGTCCAGTAATTTTTTCTAAATTTAATCCATAAATATTCAAGTGTTTTGACAGTTAGATAAAGCGATCAGGTGAGAGTGAGAAAGATGAAGTGACCTTTTGTGTGCTATGATTATTTGAATCGAATAATAATTATAATTATTGATGATGATGATATGCATACAGATTAGTGAAACTAATGAAAATATCTATTTATGAAACTAACGAAACTGATTTCATCACCAATAGGAATAACTAATAATTCCGAAGTTTATTCATTTAGAATTCACGGTCAGTGAATCTTAAACTAGGATAAAAACAACAGTTCAGTGACACTCTGTTTTCAATGGTTCTTTCGTTCTCTAACTGTTATCATATGACGAAACCAAATTCTACCCCGAAATCAATAAAATCCCAAAAAACTTAATGCATAAATATGCGTAATATAAGATACATTAGAATGATGTCAATACCGAATATCCCATGCCATGCTCTCGAGTAGAACCTGAATAGGCAGTAACGAGTTGGACGTTTGAAGGTTTTATTTTGGAAAGCATGTCAAAAGGAAATGGAAGCCTGTGGACAGTTGTACAACCAGCTAAAAAGGACAGTAGAGAACAGAGTGAGACGAAGATGTGCTGCCGAAACCCTCTGTTTCACTCTGAATATAAGGGTAGAATACTAATCCTATTACCGATGATAATAACAATAATCAGTATTCATCCAATTCAACGTATATATTTAGGTGTGGCACTTGGATAAAACAGCGAACCTACAATTAGTAAACTGAAATCAACTTCTGCTGTCCAACAAGTGGGTGAAATGGTGACTTATGTGCAAAATAAGAAAATGTTTCTGTCAACATTAGGCAGACTATATGCCAACGATAATGACGGTTGCCGCCTTTAACTTGTACGAAGACATAACTTCAAGATGAAATGTTTACAATTGAATGTATAACACAAATGATATGAAAACTACAGTGTAATTTAAAATAAAGGAAACTATTTTTGATTTTATCCACTAAACCAAGGAAACCTGTTTATCACCTACAAATGTAACGGAAATATGGCGACAGTACCCTTGAGATGGTGAATATTTGATTCAACGATATGATGTTTGCCAACCATGCACACCATCCCTTTTCGATTTTCGGTCAGTGCACTACTAAACTTCACCCAGTTTATCATCCAGTAGTTTTCCTGGGCATAATGCTTGCCTCCCGATGCCACTGCTACTGAAACTATACAAACGTGGAGCCCCGTGTTCCATTCGGAACTCAAGGAATGTAAACAAAGCCTGCTGACAATAACTTAGTTGTTATGAAGAATTTATTTTAATTCACTTAATGTTATAATGAGTTCATTATAAATGCACAAATGTCGTCTAGCTGACTCTCATCAGTGTGCATTTATATCTGAAGGATCGAACCTGGAACAATAAGGTTACGAGGTGAGTACGTCGAACATTCAACCACCAGTTAGAATCAGATTACCAAATAAGTTTTTCATATGTAAAGTGTACTCAAAGATGTTAACGCAAAAAAAGCATTTTTTATGTTTATAGGAAAGGGTAAAGATTTCTAAAACTGTCAAAGAAATTAACAAAAACATGAGATAAAGGCAAGCTGTTATAGATGATATTTCTTTGATGTGAAAACAGTGATTCGTGACCACTGCCACTGACATTAGCTGGCAGAAGTTAGAATTCACTGACCATTGGATGAATGGTCAAAGGGATCACCTGTTAACATGAAGGTCCTGGGTTCAATCCCAGGTGGTGTCATAGGTGTGTGTGCTGAAGAGTCCCAAATTAGAACGAAACAAGTGTTCAGTACTCCCTGATTGCCAGTGGTTCTCTAACCGAGGTCAGTTCTTGATGAAACTTGAAATTGACCAAGTCCCTACAAATCAACGCTTGAAAAATAGGAATCACTGGTGTTTATGCCTTAGCTAATTTCATCAATTGACTGATAAAATTCGATAAATGTTAACAAAACAGATTCACTTAAAACAAAACAATTAGTAATATATACATGAGTGTTTACATTAAATATTTATGAATATGCTTGAAATAAAATGTTTAGCAAATGAACTCACAGTATTTTGGGTCTCAGTGGCATCACTAGAAAACAGAAAATAACAAAACACAATCAGCTGAAGTAAAGTATAACAATGAATTTTATTTTCAAGGGCAAAAATTACTTAGAAAAATTATTGAGACTATGGAAAGTTTTATGATGGGAAATTGAAACCTCTTTATCAAACATAAGTCAGACTTCTGTTGAAGAATAATCAAAGTAACATTATTTTGCCTTTCATGTTTACTCTTTTAATTGTGAAAAGTAGAAAACACTAAATAAACTCATCTATTTGTTTGCTTTTGTTGAGGAAAGTACACTGGATACTTCGCAGCACAATATGGCATAAAGGCAAAACTTCGACTGAAAATAATATGAATTAACCGCTATCAGCTTAAAGATAAAGACAATAAACTCCGAGGAGGAAACAATAGCGTTACAATAAGGTTGAAAGTATTGTGTTTCTTAGTCACCGCCTACTTTTTAACAACCCAGCTGACAAGTTCTTGTACTTAAATCAGTTTACCTGTTCTGTTACTAAAGTATTCATGACCACTGTTGTGTTTGGCTACGAATAGATAGCTGTGAGATAACTAAACATCTAGACACTAACCATCTAATCTCAACAACTTATTTCAAAGTTATTTACAAAAATTCATTGAGAACAGTTCTTAGGGAAACTAGGAGATTGTATGAGAAAAAAAACATATTTAGCGTCTCCTTCTACTGTCTATTTGGATTTAAAATTTTCAGGTTAGGGAACGGTCTGTTGACGACTCAACCACTGCAATGGAATAGCATAGCCCATGAATTCGAACCTCTGCCAGTTCGCGATATAAAAGTGTCACTGTCAGCCTATATCATCGACGAATATTTGTTTTCATAGACAAATTGGTGAAGTCCATTGGTTACAACTTCTCACTAAAATTACATGGACTTCATCCCGTAGTCAGTGACTCGTGATCCACAGAGGGATCATAGGTACTTACTACAGCAGAGCCCCCGAACCAGGACGAAAAAGATGTTCAGTAGTTCTCTAAATGATGTCAATTATTGATCTAACTTGAAATCAATCAAATCCTTACAACACAACAGTTGAAAATATATTACTCTCTTAAAATAAGATACCGAAAAGAAACGTCTACTACATCTTGACTAATACTCTGGCATTTTTAGATCTTTTGATTTTCTTATATTTTAATAAGTTTCTCTTGAAGCAAAAATTAGAAATATTAAAAAATAACCCAGTAATGAAAAAAAAATCGCTTATAGTTACGATTGTAAAGATACAGTAAATGAAACCGTTGAGACGCTTAACGGTTTTTTCCTTCCTATTCTTAAATAATTCATTTTTCTTCACTAAGAGTAAGTCTCATCTATAGAAGACATTTAGCACATCGTTGAAACCGATACAAATACACAAGAATTTAAGTTATTGTGTTTTACGTTATTTAGAAACCACATACACTTTTATTCACCCGTAATTAAATGACTTCTCAAAACTCCAAATAATTTTGAGTTCCTTTTAAACTCAGCTTAGTCATCAGATAGATGCAGTTTGCGTCACTGGAAAAAAAATAGAATTTATAATTCTAGATGACAAAGAAACCGACTACCCTGAACAGTGTTTTTCATACACTAATGACTGAACAATGAAAACGGATGAAAATTGTGGTGAATAAATTGCGATAACAGAAATGCTTTGGACACGTCAGTTAGATGAAGGATGAAAAAAAAACTAAATTATAAGCTTCTAATATCTGATTATAATGCCTCTCTTGTGTGAGAGAAACCAGAAGGATTCGGCAATCCAAATGTCTATCACACTACTGAGTCTTCCGGTATTCGTGAGTCATTATTGCTTTTACTTCTATGTACTTTTAGTATTTACGACCTTAGTTCTGATTGGTTGTCTTTATCTCCTTTATCGATTTGTTTTGGAATTTCTCGTCTATGTGGCAATAACATTGTTTGGTTATGAATATGCATTTTCGTAGACTGCTCGACTCTTATTAATCCTTGTTGATTCTTTCGTATAACTGACCGGGCAATTTTCCACACCATTACCAGAGCTGAAGATTAATGTTATTATTATTACTTTACTAATATTGCTAGGAATAAATCTTATCAGATGTGTTGTGTACTTTTCGGTTTGCATTGTGTCCTTTGGTTAAGTGTCTGGCGATAGCTGTTTCCGAGTTTTATCTCCTTTTTATGACCCTATTATGTTCTCAGGCTTCTTATAGCTTGTTCAGTTGAAGATTAAACTTAGTTTCACTAAGTAAGCCAGAATTCTCAGCAGTTCATCAAAAAGCCTACATAAAAAGAAACCAAACAAATGAGGGGAACACTACTACTGAGTAACTAACCCAAAGTGTTCCCTTGAAAACTCATAAGAAAAATTATAGGTAGTAATAGAGATAGTTATCACAATAAGAATCAAAAGAAACTGAAATTCTCCATGGTGTTAATATACAACGATTCTGTTGACCTGATTAAATATAATAGTTTATCAAATACCCTACAGTGTCTACGAAGTCAAGCAAATGAACTGAAACAGAGTGCAACTACTTGAGATGGGTCAAACATGATCCCTTTAGAGTGGCTTTTAGGGTTGTGTCCTCACGAAAGCCTTGTCGTAGGCCAGAAACCACTGCAGAGTAAACCAGGAAGTATAGCTTACAGGGCCTTTTTTAACCACTTTTCCCCAAAGTGCAGAGCCGGTATTGCTTGCTTGTCATCCAGTAGTACGACTTCACCCTAAGACTCCCAACAAAGTGGAAACAAATTACGTTGCTTTTAGTCTAATCACTATCCAAGAGATCTTTCTGGCAGAATAGGATCTGCAGGAAACTTCGCTCCAACCAGCATTGCTCCTAGGGTCGTTGTGATATGCAAAATATCAGTGTAGGGGGTATCAGTCAAAACAACTGTTCACACAATCAGTAAGGTTATCATACCATAGAAATTCCGTTTGACGTAAAGTGATAAACCTGAGAAAAGTAAGCAGTCTGAGAATAAATTCACCTATCCATATACCCGTGATAAAAAACAATCACATAAAAGATTGGAACATAACTAAAGTTGTAAATGGTTACATAGTTAAGTGGGGGCACAGGTTCCCTGCTTCACAAGTACTCAACACAAACGGTGAAGATAATAATAATCCACTATGTGAAAACAGAGTCCCTGAGACAAAGGAAGCCCAGGTCTGTATCTAATCATATAAAAATTGAAGGCTTGAAAATAACTGATAATTAGATTATGGGTATGTATGATTATTGTAAAGCAAGTACTTAATTGCCTATTCATGCAATCAGAATAGCAGTAGGTTAGAAAAAACGAAATAAGAAGTTAGCTTTCTCAGTAGGAAGCACAAACACAAACACACACACTTAGAGAGTTAGCAATTTAGTCTCAGGTATTTGCCTCAATTTTAGTTAACAATTTTAAGAAATTGCATTATGATGTTCAGGTGTGTTAAGCTGTTATTATATTGAAATAAATAATTCGGAAAAAACAATATCTTAGGCTTATAATCACGCAAATCCTAGGGGTGCAGTATTGTTTTAATAGAGAATATTGAGAACTATTATTTTGGCCTTAGATAAACATAAAAAATATTGTTAAAGCAAGGGTGAAAAATATCAGTTGTTATTAATATTCATCCCTTCCGTTCAGAGAAGAAAATAGGACTTCAGCAGCACATCTTTATTGTACCCAGTTCTCTACCATCTCTTTCAAGGACTGCCTGCAAGCTTTCATTCCCTTTATACATTATTTTCTCCATATCACGTGCAGACTCACAAGAAACTTTTCACTTCCCATTGGGATTCCAGTCGGGGACCTGGTGTGCAATACTGCTGAATGGTTTCTTCAGCATGTGTCCAGTCTATCTCCACTTCCTCCTGCATATTTGTTAGGTATCAGGCTGCTCGCTGGTTTGCTGCACTGCCAGAGTCCCTTTTTGCTTATCATTTTCGTTTGACCATCTGATGTTCAGTATCGAAGCAGCAAAGTCATCTGTTGGTGAAAGTTTGCGGTAGCTTAATGAAATTGCTTTTCGTGATTCACCAAGTCTCTGAACCATATAAAAACATCGACTTCACATTAGTCTTGAATATTTGACTGTTCATTGTGCTGATTGCTGGGTACCTCCACACTTAGTTCAGCATAATGAACGCCTATCTTGATCTCCAGACATTCACATCAGTGCCACCTGTAGTTGAGCCACTGCTACAGAGATAAGTGGAAAAAACTATTTCCTTTAGATTTGTTCCATTTATGATGAATGCTGCTTGCTGGTTGTTGGTTGGTTGTGTTCATCACCTCTGTCTTCTCTATATTTATCTGAATTCTTGTATTCGCTGCCTCTTCTGACCACTTGTTGGTTTTCGCCTCTATATCTTTGAGTTTCTGCAACATGCAACATAAATCATCTGCCAAACCCAGATTTTCCAGGGTTATTTGTTGGTTCAACGTATGGCTCTTATCTCATTAACTAAAGTTTGCCGCATAGTCTAGTTCACCACAGTCAGAAAGATCATCGATGATATCAATATTTATTGAGAAATTAAAAACAAGTTTTACGTACGAAAAATAATTTCTGAAAGCAAATATCCTAAGTTTTTTGAAGCAAGAGAGAGTCGACATTTGGAAACGAAATTCAAGTCTCACGGGCAATCAAGATTTCAGCATCAAGGAAGTGGTAAGGATCGAAATCAAAATGCAGTCGTGGCATATAAGCCTCAAAATGCAATGCATTTCCTACACGTAGACTACACTTAACAGTACTATTCGGTTGATGAATTACCCGTTAGACAGAAGCGCTAAACCGCAGGTTTTAAATGACGGTAACACACAATTAGAAGTAACCCTGATGTGCCATGATGAGTTTAATTCCGAATAATTATTCCGGTGTTTTAAAACAATGTAGTTTAACTAGGACAAAGATGTGTGCACAGAAACATATTAACAATTTAGTGTTGCACATATTTCAGAATATATTAGGAATTCAAAATGTTCACGGCTATCAAAAAATGTTGAGGAGAAAAATTGTTTATTATTTATTATTTGGTACCTTACTTAGTCTAATCTTCATAAACCTTTAAAAGCGTTAGGCCTTTATCAATCTTCTAATATCACTTACAGTTGAAGTGACAAAACACGTTCAGAGGGATAAATGTGTTGAGGGTTGAATGCTACTGTATTTGAAGTAACCATTCAATCATAAATCATTTATCAGTCAACTAGAATTTAAAAGCATTAAATTTGGTAATCGAAATGATACTCCAAACAGCTAAACTGTCGACGGAACACTTTCATCGAAGAGAACTTTGCACAAAACTGCAACAGCAGTTCAAGCTACCACACTTAAAACCACATATGAAAGAAACTCGATAAAATTATAATAAATGTTAATGTGAGGGGGAGAAAGGGTGATTGCGCAAACAGAAACACTTAAAAATAATCCGGTAACTGTATTTTTTTATTAGTAGCAATGCAAGTAATTTCAGGATAGTTTTAAACTCAGTGCTATGAATAACCACTCTATACAAAAAAACAAATGTCTCCTCTGCAGATGTAGTTTAATTTTTAAATCAGATCTGTACGAAATGAAGACGAATGTTATTTAATAAAAGAAAAATGAAAATCAACAGGTTAACAAAACAATAAGTGAGCTTATTGCAGAATAGGACACATAGTGGTAAATCAAATCGTTAGGAGAGAACTGCAATGAACGCGTTCATGTAAGAAATCACGAGCTGATGTCAGCCCATGATCAAACCTGTAACCAATCAAATCCCTGCAAACTAACACTTGAAAATCAATCTGACAATCACTAGTGACTGGTTGTATGCAGGAAGTAACCTGGAGTTCTAGTGAAAAGTCCTAACCAGCGGAGTTAACCAAGTCAGGTAAGAGATTATATACCAGCTCATGACATCGGGTAGTGGTCACACTAAATCTCGCGAAGTGGTAGAAGCTGGGATTCATAGGCCATTGAAACAGGTCCCAGTGGCTAAATGGTTTACAGGTTCGCTCTGTAATGGGAAAATAGTGGGTTGGAATCCCATGAGGTTGCATACTGCTGAAGCGTCTCAAACTAGGACGAAAAGCCTGTCCAGTACACTCTGGTTTCGAATGGTTGTGCGTCGGTGGTACAGTGGTTAGTACTCTCGCCGACCATGCACATGGTCCGGGGTTTGATTCCCTGCCGACGCACACCTGATATCTATGGTCGGCCTGCTGAAAATTCCATACCTGTACCAAAAAATACGGTGTGAATCAAACTGTAATAAAAAAATAAAAATTATTATCAGATTGTAATCGAATCTGTAACTAAACAAATCCCTGCAAACCATCACTTGAAAATTAGTGATTTTTGTGAAACTTTTCAACTTCAATAAAGATATGATCGAGATGCAAAATTTTTCCCAGTTTTCATCATAAATCTCAGTATAGTTGGAAAATAAAAATATTCAAGGGATTTTGTTTTGATCACATACACATAGTAAATAGTTAAAACCAGACAGAAATATTTCCAGACATATATTCTATCTAGACCATATAATTATTTCCCCGCATCGTTGTTGTTGTTGTTTGTTGATGTTGGTGTTGATTGTGTCGTCAAACGTGACTGCCTATTGATAATGAATCACTTTACTCTACAAAAAAAGCTTCAGTTGTTGTTTAATCATCCAGACACTTTTTCCCCCCATATGTTAACTCCACCGCCTTTTTGGATTAAAAATAATTGATTACAGCAAGTTACATTTTTAATCCGAAAAGGAGGTAAAGTTAACAAATAGGAGAAAAAAAGCGTCTATATGAATGAAAAACAACTGAAGCTTTTTTTTACAAAGTTGTGTGACTCATTGTAGAAATAATTTATTGGATTTGAAGCAGACTTCAACAGTGTCTAGAATTACGGCAGTGCATAGAAAACTATTATGTCACATAATTAATTCTATGGTTGAGTGATTTTCTCTTTCTGAGAAATTCAGGTAGGACATAAGTTTATAAAAAAAGTGTCCATAACCATTCGCAAGTTGAATAGTCAAAATCACAACCTTCTACAATCAAAATATCTTGACAAATGATGTCAATTTCTGTTGAAAAATGAATCCATTAAAGTAGTTACATTTAAAGACGAATAGTGTCCAATTTTTCGTTTTGCTACAGTTTTATACACTCCCAAGTGAGAAATGATTCCACGGCCTACTGCAAACCAATAAAATCCTGAAATATAATCTAGTCAGAAAGTGGAATCGTCGGTGGTTCAATGGTAGAATACTACCCAACCATGAGCGTGGTCTGGAGTTCGATCCTCGACTGACGCACACTGGTAGTAGTCCAGTAGAGAAGGAGGTTAGGGCATAAGGCCAGAAACCCCACCCAGAAAAGAGATAAACACTGCTTCTACTGAAACCTCAGAGTTCAATCTTGAAGCCTCATATTTCACTCGGGATTCAAAGAAACAATAATTATATCGTTTCTGCTAATGTTAAATTCAGTGTATATCTAAGTTTCCAAGTATTGGTTCCCAGGGATTTGACTGATTTCAAGTTACATAACAGATTGACATCAATTAGAGATCTATAGAGTACTGGACAGCTGTCTCGTCTTTGAGGCCCACTAATAACCCCGCTGACAATCGGACCCAGGGCCTTCGACTCACCAGACGAGACCGTTGACCATCAAAGCCACTAGGACGGAAACTAACGGCCCATGAATTCTGGCTTGAGTCAACCCTCGATATACCAGAGCCAACACCAGCCAGTGTCATCTTTGAGTATCTAAGTTCACGCCCAACTTAATGGACCTCACTAGTCACGGTTTCTCATTAGAACTTCAAACGGCTTCATCCTGTAATCAGTCACAAGTTAGTAGGCTTAGTTAAACTTAACATACATTGAAGTGTCTATTTTATGTAAAAGTAAAATAAACAGGATAAAATAAAGATAATTCTAAGAAAAAAACTTACTTATTGGATGGTTTAGTTTCTGGTAGAGTTGATTTAACTTTCATGCCTTGAGATAATTTTCTTAGTTTATTAGCTGTAAGTAATAAATCATCACTAGTATTATTATTATCTTGGTTTAATTGTCCTTCAGTAGTTGATTTATCTGTATTGTCTGGATTACTGGCTAGTGTAACCAATGTTTGCTTTAATTCATTATTTAATGTTTCATATTCTTGATTAGTAAGTATATGACCACCTGAATTTAATGTTTCTTTTAAAGTTGATAATTTATTCATTTGTTCATTGTTTAATTCAGTTTGAATTGATGATTCGCATAGTTTTGGTAGATTTACATCTTCACCACCAGTACTACTACTAAAACAAGTCAATTGACTATTATTATCTTGTTTATTTTGGATATACTTTTTTAATTGACCTATTTCTTGATCACGTTCATCTAAAAGTGACTGAAATGTATTAATTGTTTGTTGAAGAAGTATATCATCTACTTTAGGCGCTGATGAAGCTGAACTGTGTTGTTGTTGGTGGTGGTGGTGTTTTTGTTGTTGATGGTGTTGCTGGAGTTTTTATTGCTGGTTGTGATGTAGTTAGTGGTTTTGTATCACTCATTGTGTAAAGTGAATCTGACTAAAAATTTCAAATAAAATTTAAAAAATAGATAAACGAAAGTGTTAAATTATAACACAGACAAAACGACATTAGTTTTACTTCTATGATAACTATGAATTCCAAATCTTTGTTGATAACTACCTGTCTAGAAGTTAATTAGATCAACGAAAATGTATCCAAACAAATTAGATAATATAGTAATCCTTTGCAAAAGAAAATAGACACCCTTTATCTGGTGACTGCTTGATTTTCGAAGTAATCTATGCTGTATACCGTGGGATAAGACTAAATATACAATTTTCTGGTACAAAACTCATCAGTTGTGAGATTGAGTGGACTTAATTTAAACCTATAGTCAAGTAACTTGAAGTTACTTTCTTATGGTGACTAGCAGTGGAATCTAGAACGCGAGTTTCAACTTATTTAGGACTCGTCATCTGCTGTGCAGTGTGTTTCAGTGGTAGAATGGTCGCCAACGATACATGTGTTCCGGAATTCGATTCCCAGTTGACACACTCCTTAGCCTTGCTTAGCGGGAGGTAAGCCTGGCAAAGAGGGAAGGTCGGTCATTGGGCTAACAACTCCACGTCATAAAGAAAACAACAGCACTGCTACAGGAACTTCAAGGCTCAAGCCTGAAGCCCAGTGGTACACTCAAAACGCAAAGGAATAAAATAAAAAATAAATAAAGTAGGACTTGTCAGCTGGATGTGCTTACTGCTTAGTAAGTGGTGATGTTCCCACTGAGACTCAAACCTAGTGACAATTGCTGCAAACATCAAAGTGTATGAAATAGACAACGGGGCTATGAGGTTCAGTCTCATGGTCAACTGCATCTATATTATGACTCATTATGGGTTAAAGTGACATATTTCATTGTGAAATATAAAACAGTTGACAATAATAATAATAATAAATAACAACTTACTGTATTTTCTTCAAGATTTTCAAAAGATAAAGATTCACTTGACGGTTGACAATTACTGTGATTGATAAGATCTTGAACACGGCATTCCAATTTTTCTGAGTATTGTCGTGATGAATTCAATTTTTCTTCTAATTCTCTGACACGTTCTAACTGCTCTTCTAATTGGGACTAAAAAGTTATTTATGTACAGATTGAGAAAAATAAAAAACAATTTACAAAGTAAATTCACTTACATGTCAAGTATTCAGTTAGATAATGAATAAATGAATACAATGACCTAGAACCCAACAATTTCCTTTTGTATACTAATACACTTATTGGCGTTTGTATGCTCATGTGATAGACAAGTTAGGAAGAAAGGGAGACGAGCTCATATACACACACGCTCTCTCTCATATACACATATACATATTCAACACCTTTCCAACAACAGATTAATAAATATATTTTTTGGGGTTAACAAATCAAGTGAGGCGATTGTCATAGGTTCGTTCTTATTACTCCATTTATAGTTACTGTTAATCAGTTCCAACCAGGTTTGCATATGGGCAAAAGTATTTAAACGGTAGGTAAGTTGAAGTAATTTAAAAGGTTAACTGATATCTGTTATATATCTGCTCAAAATTTATTCGTATTACTTAAGGATGAAATATTAATAAAAAGGAGATTGGTAAGAATACTAATATCATAGTTTTGCATGTGTTAAATATTTTTTATATTCAGTAAAAATTTATTTTTCTCCTGTAATTATTATTATTATTGTTGCTGTCATTATTAATTCCTTTGTTATTCCTGACGTCTTAAACCTATACAAAAACTGGCATGGCATCACACTTCTGCTTACTCCAGACAAATTATTAGGTCACATCATCCTGGAGAGATTAAAAGATGCTCAGGATGCAAAACTCCACCTGGAACAGACTGGGATTGAGGAAAGGCGAATCATTTACTGACCGAATTGCAAAGCTATGCGTTAACATCGAATAGGACATAGAGCATAAGTGAAGTCTCTGCATCAATTCCAACGACTTTGAAAAAGTCTTTGATAGCTTTATCCATGAAGTAATTTGGAAAATGCTTCAACATTACAGAGTGCAGTATCCCAAACATTTAACAACCACATTAAACATCTATAGGATGAAAATAATTGGCAAGTGATTCACAATGGAAAATTCAGTGGTGCCTCTGAAGTGAAGACAGGAGTAAAACAAGGCTGCCTAACATCGCCGATGATATTCCTGATTGAGGTGGACTGGATCATGCAGCAGATAGTGGGGAGAGAGATGATGGATTTCAACTTCATGGATGAATAATGTCTAATTTTGCACAAACTAGAAGCTGGCAGAAGCAGCAGCGAAGACAGGTCTTCAAGTGAACACAGATAAGGCAGAGGTGATGAAGATACCTATTCAACAACAGCAAGCACCAGTTACTATGAACAGTAGAAATTCGAACAAGATCACGGTTTTCACTTATTTGGGTGGCATCGTTTCAACTAAAGACGGTACAGGTGAGTGTGTCAAAGGCCGGATTGGAAAAGCAAGGTAGACTTTCAATATTCAGTTTGGAAATCCTCTGCACTGAGAATAATGAACAAGATTTGAATTTTCATCACTAATGCCAAGTCAGTTTTTCTATATGGTTTAGAGACTTGCTCTGCTAGTCGAGAAAAGCATTTCCAGCAGGCTGCTGCTGTTTTTCATCAACATCTGTCTTCACCCTATAATGAAGATAGGATGACCAAAAAACATTAGCAACAAAGAACTCTGGCAAACAACCAATCAAGAACCTGTCGAAGAAAATGAAGATACAATGGACATACGCTGAAATGACCACTGAGTGACGCCGCGCGTCAGGCCACTGAGTGAAACCTGAATAAGAAACGACGAGTTGGGCGTCTGAGGATGGTTGGAGGAGATCGTACGAAGGAGCGATAAACCATTATGGGCAATCGTGGAGCCAACTCAAAAGGACTACAGAGAACAGGATGAAATGAATACGTGGTGCTGAGTCCCTATATTCCAGTCGGAAACTATGAGAATAATAATAATGTTCTCTAACTTTTATATTTCCTAGTGTATGTTGCGATTTCTTGCCACTCCGTGCATCAAAACGCAGAATTTATCGCCAGAAGGATGAAATAAGTTCAGACTACTATGAAAGTTGTCAATCATTTATAATATATAAAAAATAATTGAAAAAAGATGTCTCCTTAATCCACTGTTCATTCATTAATGACTGACTAAGGGGTAAACTTCCTGAATTTCTAGTGGGAGGTAGTAACTAAGTCGAGTATGAGGACACATAATCGCTATATTTATCGTGGATCAGTACAGCTTACAACTCAGTTGACTTCATCCCATCGGCTCACTTCATACCATAAAGGTCCCAGGTTTAATCAATCTTGCTTAAGAGTTCCAGTTGTCCTGAAGTTCATGGTTTTCATCGGTAGTTCTCTACATGATGAAATATAACTAGAAATCAGCCAAATCCCTAAAACTCCTACATTTGAAAATACCTCTCTGTCTATTAGTTCGAAAAAGTCGTCAAATAGTATTAAATAGCCGTTTGGAATGTTTTTCCTCTTAATCTTCACCATGATAGGCATGTGGGAAAAAAACCAAATGCAAGGCATAGTTTATTCCCTTGGAAATACTGACATTTATTTTCTTTCAACATTGAATACATAATAAAAGAAACAAAATGAAGAAATGATGTTTTTGAAATGTTACAACTGTTTAACAAAGAAGACGAAATAAACATTTTATTCTCTATCGATATATACATTATGTAATGCATATTGATATATGCTTTGAAACACGAAGCTGACTGTTTTTTATGTTGTTTTGCCCTCTGAGCTGAATAGCTTAATTGTGAAGCTGTTCTATTTTCCCTCTAGACAATATCTACAGCGCTAGTTTAAAAAAGAACATGAGCTTTTGGAATCCTCGAGCAATGTAATAATTATCTTTCCTGATGTTGTCTAAAAGAACAATGAAAGTGTCGAAATTAAAGCAACCTAAGTTTAGAGAATAAAAAACAAGACGAACAGAAATATCCACCAGGGGTACAAATCTTCTCCATCAGTTCGAAATTATCTTTATTTTTACCTTGCATTCTATTCAGGCTTGAACTATGGAATTTCAGTAACAGGAGTGTTTATTTTTTACGGGATGGGGTTGCTAGCCTCACACCCTACCTTCGCTACTTGACAGCTAAACGAGGTTAAGCAGCACGTTGGCACGGTTGGCTAGTGGTTCAGGGTTCGGTCCATGGCACGTCCAAAAACTGAACTCATTAACCTTTGAATTATTCGAATTTACTTGAATGTTAAGATAATTCACTAAACTATTGTAAAAGTGTTAATAATTTCTATTAATTGGTGAAAAACCAGCTGGTTATAAGTGATTAAAATAAGAATGTGTTATATGAATGGAGAAGTATGAAAGACAAAATATACGTCAGCACAAAATATGAACACTGTTTATAAAAAAACAAAAGGGAGTAGAATTACACCTTTTAAGTGGATTTTTCCAAGTGACATACGAAAAAGAAAGTTGTATGGCGATACGAATTTAGCCTAATGTGTATTTTTCTATGAAGACAAATTGCAGCATGCCATATACTACTGATTCATAAGATCAGTTGGAAACCACTTATATGAATCAGTAAAGCTTGTTATTTGGCTTTTTCAATTGCTATTTGTAATAATAAACAGATCATAAATTGTGATCTGAATATCTTAGGTTTCAACAAAAAAAAATGTGGTGAGTTTTACACATTTAAAAGTGTGTCATTTGCAAAAAACTGTATAGCGAATTTGAAAATTTTATAGAAGTTTAGGGTTTTAAAAAAATTGAAGAGATTCCATTTCACTTCATTTATTGGTAACTAGTTTTCAGCATCGTGCCCTTGAAATACAAACGCAGTCTGATAAAGTGCTTGCTGCTCCACAAAGCAAGAACAATCTCCTCGGATGAATGTCTTGATGAGGAACTTAATAATATTAAACGGTTGCTGAGTGAAAACGGTTATCCAAAAAAATTCATTGATAAGAATATGAATCAAAAATCAAAACAGGCTAAGGTACCAATAGTTCCGAGAAAGACCTTATTCTTACAAATTCAGTTCTTCGGGAATAACATCAACGAGATATTAACACAAAGCCATAGAAATGCGGTAAAGAGAGCAATCACTGCTCCTGAATTACGCTGTGTCTTCAAAATCACTCCTGTTTTACGTTCAGGAGTAAAAGACAAACTGTCTAATTTCGCCTCTTCTATGTGTATCTACCAATTTGACTGCTCCTGTGGAGCCAGTTACATAGGCCATACAATTAGGCGTGTTTCTCGTTGGATTTCCGAACATCACCCTGCGTGGTTAAGTAAAGGATAGATAAAATCCATTCATAGCGCTATTCTATCTCATCTTGTGGATGCAGAACACGAGATTATGTCAACGAGGCTTTCAAAGTCATCTACCACATACCAACAAATCTTAACTTCGCCTTAAGAGTTCATCTACGACACAGTACTGAAGCCGTTGAGATCCACATTAAGAAGCCTAACTTGTGTGTCGAAAAGAAGCTAGTTCAGACATTGTCCTTACCTTAGCCACCAAAGTTTTAATGATCCTTGTTTTGTTGTGGAAATTTCCTTAATTTTATTTAACGTTCTATTTATTGTTACATTTTCATGCTTATTATAATTTATGCATCTTTAATGAACTGTAATTTCATTGATCTTACTTAACAAATCGATATTATTTAAAAAACACCAATATTGTTATTGACTACTATTCTGGAATATTCTATGTATATAAACATATATATATAAATTGTAGAGCGAGAAGAGAAAATTATCGAAAAGGATATTCTTTGCAAAATATTTTTTTTTGCTAGATGTCTGAATGAATCTTTTCGCTTCAGTTTAAAATTGTCTGATACAAAGCAGATTTCCGACTGACTCTTAACCATCATTCATTATTGTATATTTTTGTGCATATGTGTACAAAAACGATTATTATTCGTAAGTACAAAGGTGTATTAGTATTCAACACTACAAACGAATCTTCTAAAATAAACAACAACTTCGAAATAGTAACATCTATCTCAAACTTTGTTACAACACAAACGTAACACGAGATTTAATTATGATTCAAAAGTTACT